AGTCATTTGAAAAAAAAAAAAAACAATCGTACTCGCAGTGAGGGATTAATTCTTTTTTTAAGGCTTATAGCTCTATTTTGGACTAAAATTTGGCAGAAATGAACTGCTTAACCGATATTACCGGTTGTCCCTGATAAAAACTGTGCTTCTTCTTCACCTCAAAGGCAAACTTTGAGTGGCCAAACGCTCCGTCTCAGCCCAAATGTAGCGCTATCAGTTTGGAACAGATGCCAAAGTTAGCTTGCCTTTAACTGGTTCAAAAGCTATGAGCGATTTTCCTAAATTTACAACGAGAAAATGGGTCCCTTTTCGTGTATAGCCGACACCAGTCATGTCCATGCTTTCCTGTGCTGAGGCTTAATGAACCTAGTATCGGAAAGCTTCGCTCTTTCGGCAGTTCTTTGTGATGCACATTTATTCGTTTATTTATATATTTTCTTATTTATATTTTTATTTATTTTTTGTTTAGTTGTGCATATATGTCTGTATGTATGAATGTGTGTTTGTGCATGTATTCATCTATTAATTCAGTACTTATTTATTTCAGTGTGTCGAACCGAAAAAAATACACGTTCAGTTACGGTTCAGGTTCAGGTAAATTTATTTTGTTCCGGTTCAGTTCCGGTTCGATTAATTCGATCTGCGAACCGGTTCGCGAACCGGTTCGGAAATTATAAATGACAAATTGCAACATCAAAATAAGTTACAAATGAAACATCTGAAATCAGCACATACGAAACGGGATACATCGTAGTGTAAGGCTCAGGGATTTCTACCAGGAATGGTTTCTTTATGTGCACTCAAAGGTTACCTCACCGACGTTTACGCATTCGGACTTCATCTAATTGGGTCCGACGCAGTAGCTGTAAAATCCGCGACCTCCTTACAAACCCACTTACAAGTAGAACTCGCTAACTATCCCGCCACCTCGCCGTGTAAGCAATTGAAGGAACAGTGGGGAGAAAATACAGCTTTCTTTATTTGAACTAGCCTTCGGTAACTCAAATTAGACCCTTAAAGAAGTTTTCATTAAACAAGATACGGAATATGAAAAACACTTCACCGAACGCAACGCCAGAAGGACGTAATAGGATAAATATTAAAATAAAAAAGTCCGCTGTCTCACAAATATATTAGCTTCTAAGTACCTATACGAAACCGCATGCATTATTATCAAACTCCACAGCCTTTTCTTTTCTCATTCCGATGGAAGCAAGCTTCAAGCACTCGCGCGTTTTAGGAACGTGTTATGAAATGAGCACACAGCAGCATTTAGGATTTACGAGATTGTAGGAAAATGAAATCCCGTGACGCGATTTTTTTTTCTTTTTTGCACAGCCTTTTAATTTTCTTTCTTCCGTGCAAGCCGCGACCAGCGCAATACTGGTTCCTATGTCAAGATTCATGGATGCAGCGTTTGTCAAGATTCATGGATGCAGCGTTTGTATTCCTAAGACTGAGTGGAGAAGAAAAATATGTAAGCGAGGTGTGTGTCAGTTGACGGCACTTAAAAAACAAATGGCATTGATAGCACATTCATTGTCAACAGCGCGTGGCCGAACCGTTTTGACATGAGCCGGTAACCGTTATTTTTTTTCCGGTTCAGTTCCGGTTCGACACCCTGATTTATTTACTCATTCATTCATATAAATTACCTCGCAGCGCCTAAAAGGCATAATTGCGAGGGGGGATGCTCGTACAATTTCATAAATGTAATACGTTAGCGTTTGAGGAGGCGCTGCTTTGACTGTCTCCTAAAGTAGTGGCGGGAGTTTTGGCCAAGATATGGCCGCAAGACCGATACTTTCGTGCTTCGTATATCCGCGAGGCAAACATTTTAACAAGTGGCTCGGGACGCGGCATACGAGGCACGAATGTCCAAGTAACCGGCAATCGTATCTCAATGTAATTTTGTTTTGTGTGTTTTGTTATATATATATTTCAGTTTGTTTAGAGATTAAGTTATGTCTGCGGCACCAAGATAAGAGACCGGAGGGTTTTACAATTTTATATAGTGCAGCTAAGTAAAGAAAATAACACTATATTTTATTTAAAGATTATCAACAACAGGGTTGAGCAGTGTCGCGGTACAAATGTATCGCGATGCTGCCCAGCCCTGCTGCTTTTGAAATCGACCATTCCAGCCGATTTCCTTGAACTTGATTCCACGATGGCGTTATAAAGTCACCGATTAAGGAGTCGTCCTGATTATAGATAATCATAGTGAATTTTCTAAGTTATTTGGGAGGACACAAAACTAATTTAGATGTCCTTGGAATTTTGTCTCAGAAAGATAAGAGACGCCGAAATAAAACCGCGCTCGAGCCACGGTAAAAAAGTCCCTTGCTCATCTTGCTGCTTCTCAAAATACAAGATGTTGATGGAGCGGTAAATTGGATTCGAGCTTCAGTCAGGCTGCAACATGCAGCGAGAACTCGCTTTCTGGTTTCAAAATAAAATGTCGTATTCTTGTGCGTGCTTCTTGTTGTTCCTTATATACTCTAAAGGGTGCACCAAAACATCCAAAATAATTTTTTTAAATGTATTTCAATGTCTGTATTTCAGCCACATCAAAATGTATTCCTGTATTTGTATTTCCAAATACCTTTCTATTTTTCAAATGTAGTTCTGATAGGCTTTGCGATACATTTTAATAAATGTATTTTAGTATCAGTACTTAGCTGTTTTTGCCATGTACCCCAGTATTTGTATTTTTAAATATTTTTGGGGGTATTTCTGCCCAGCCTTGCTCGACAGGCGTGCAGAATATCATGCTTTTAAGAGTGCTTCAACAACAATGCAAAACCAATATCAAAACACGTAAGGATAAACAATGCAACAGCGTCAAGCACTGCTAAAAGCAGTGATACAAAATGTTCTACTTCAGTTGTACGTGGCATGGCTATCACAAAAGTTTTTTTTTCAATATTATTTTTTATTTGTTTAGCGAGATACCAGAAGCAATTAGTGGAGGAAATGACTGTACGTGTTAAGAAAGCTTGGTATGTAAGCGTTGGTTAGCCCGTGTGAGTCCTAATTTTTGAAAGTACATACTTTTAATTTCGTTTGTTATAATGGCGGCCGGGTCTAGTGCGGAGTAACATAGGTTCGCTCTTCAAGTCTATGGTCCTGGAAATATAGACGCAAGTTCATAAATATATATTTGATCAAATTTCAGTATTCTATGCTTTTAAAATGCGGCGTGGTGTGTGCGCCGTATTTTAGAGTTGTCTATTAAGCGAACAGCCTTTTCTACAAAATATGTATATGTGTGATATTGATCTTTGTCGTATGACCCGCGACAAGAACGCAGTATATATACCTTGCTATATACTAATGCATTATAAAGCTGGTACTTGTGACCTTCTGGTTAAACTTCACTGTTTTCCGTCATTGGAATATTTTAAGTTCGCACCGTCACACTAGTCAAGCTTCGTTACTGAAACGTAGACGAGTCCTTAGTCTCCTTACTAACGTTAAGGGAAATCACTACTTGACATATGGTGAATGAAGACACCTAATTTGCCAAGCAAAGTCCATCATTTTTCAATTTCTAGTTCTGAATTTTGCCCAGCTCGAAAAGACATATGTATATAGTAATAATTCTAGTACGGCTGCGGTTTAAAAACTGACGTTCATAGATCGGAAGCTCTTATATTCCACCTTTTAACATCTCCAAGTCGTATATTTGCTGCAAAAACTTGAAAAAATAATAAAGACTTGACGACGACACAGGTCAGTCTGTCCTTTCGACCAGCATACAGCTTCTTGTTCAAGTTAAAGTTTATTCTTTCTTTCCAGGGGAGAAGGAGAGGGAGAAAAAATGAAAGCCGTTTACAAATCTCTGTAATACGAAATTAGAGCGCAGCTCTTGAGGATGCTGAGGGGATGGTACGGAGGGAAGGGTATTCCCCCCTCCTCCTCCGTACCCTCCCGTCATGCTCCTCCTCCTCTTTTCCTTTTCCCCGCTAAATTTAGCGGGGGAAATGACGTCACGTGACTTGGTATCACGTCACGTATGAACAAATTCAGTTTCTCCGCTAAATTTAGCGGGAAAATTGACGGCACGTGACCTCAAGACAAATTCAATTATCCGCTAAATTTAGCGGGGAATTGAATTGGTGTTGGAAGTCACGTGACATCAATTTTCCCTCTAAATTTAGCGGGCCGGTTACACCAACGGCGACGCCGACGCCGCGAAACCCGGAAACGGGAGCCCAAGAGCTGCGCTCTAAACAAAAGCAGACTGTTGTCGCTTGACAAGATTTCTCTCCCCTCCAACAACAGGAGGAACTATTATGCATACTAGTGACCCATACAACAAGGATTACATAAAAGCAAAATACATAACATTAAACAAAAAAGAGCGGAGACACACTACGAATATTTCTTACGGGTCGAAGGTCCTATTGAGAAGAGTCACAGCAGGAAATGGAGAAACAAAAAACGAATATCCTTTCTGCTCACTCTCATCAAATCCGAGCCCAATATATGTGTACTACTTGACGATGGGGTGTCTCCGGCGTTCAGAGTTTATAGCCAAAATTATGAGAAATGGCAGCCACTAGTAATTTTGTTCATAATCCTTCCCTGTAATTCTGGTTAAATTACACCCCCCCTCCCCCTCCCCAACGTTCCCAAACGCATGTTTTATTACTTGTTTTTGACCCAGAATGACTCCAGTCTATTTCAGCGGAGCCTGTCCCAGCAAACTTATGAAAAAGGTATTTTCAGGAGTAAACCGCTCCTCTCTAAAAGATGTGATATCTCCTGAACACCATTCCCAAGCCGCCAGAAAGGTGTAACGACACCTCTCACGCACGCACAGCAGGCGTATTTGGAACATATACACCTATTGTACAAACATATAACGCTTTGCAAAGTTGCATTCAGTATGAAACACCTGCCAAACACCATTATATGTGTTTTAAAGTTTACCGTACACATGTGATCCTTGCGTGTTGAGGCATGGCAACGTGTCCCCTCTGCTTGCTGTCCAGGGTGGTCCGCGAGGCGACCGAGGTGAACGTGGACATGCGCATCGGCGTACACTCGGGCAACGTGCTCTGCGGCGTGCTGGGACTTAGGAAGTGGCAGTACGACGTCTGGTCGGATGACGTCACGCTGGCCAACCACATGGAGTCTGGCGGCGTGCCCGGGTCAGTAACCTCGTTCCCTTCTTCACCACTTCGCTCGTTCCCAACGGAAGTGTTTCAATACCTGTCGCTCTTCACTGAGGTATCAAAGGCGTCGCATTAGTATAGACCGTGATCTCAATATAGAAATTTCCACTTGTGAACCTTTAAGTAGGAAGATAAAATAACTATTTTGCTTCAGATGAAATATTTTTCTTGTCTTATTTGGGTAAAAAATACTCACCGCTTAACGGGACAGGGTGTGGCCATTTTCAGAGAAATGTGGTCTCCCATAATATGAAAGACCTATTCGCCGAGGTGGTTTATTCGGTGGTGTACACATTGACCAAATGCACTTTATTTTTATAGGAAGAATAGAAGAACCCAGGTTCATTTATTCCCCTCACTCCGAGAAACAGGGTCCGGCCCAAAGCGAATTCAGTACATCCGCCGTTAACTGCCTCGCCGAATGGGCAATTCTTATTGTTACAGTTTGTACTTTAAAGAAACAAAAATAGTGACAAAACGCCGTCTTCCACCTTTCAATGATTTTCTAGATACTAGAAAAGCCCTCTGGGGAGCATCAAGTAGATTGGTGCACTTGAGATGTTATATTACATGCGCGAGCCATAATGTTTAAGAGTTTACTTGCTTTCTATATTATACACCTTCCCCCTTCATGTAATGCAATCAGAAGAGTGTCTTTGAGGTAATGGAACTAAATTAAATACAGGGAGGTGGGGTGGCTGCACGGTGTAGTTTACAATGAACACACAACACAGGTGAAGTGAGTAAAATACATATAAAACAAATTTCCATAACGGTCGACACCCAGACAAGCAATACACAAGTAAAACATTTGGAGACAATACACGCAGTTCTGCTCTCTCTTCTCACCATATAAAAAATTGGCCGACTAGTTTTGTATAAAAAAAGTGTCGTTGTTTTAAAGGGATTCGATGAAATCGAGCGGGTTGTTCCAGTCACCGATCATCTGTGAGGGAAAGATGATTAGATGTTTTAGCGCTGTTTTGGGCAGATGAACTGGAGGCGGGGGGTGGGGAAGGGGGGGGGGGGGGCGGTCTAATGTGATAGGGCGTTGCGCAGCATAGAATGGTAGAACCAAATCTTGTGAAGCACTGAAAGGCGAGTAATTTTGCAATAAATTTGCAACGGCGTCAGATTTATCGCGCTCTTCGGGTGGAGACGCTGGAAGAAGGGTCGTAGTAAGACAAAATGAGTCTTGTATACCGGTTCTGAAATGATACCAGGTGTTTAATAACATAGACTAGATTAGAGGTCAAAACTATGGCCGCACACCCTAGTTTGGACCCTTCGAATGTTTAGGGTCCTTCGTTTTATGAGAAATTTTGATCTCTGCCGATATTTACCTCCTTATGTTTTTCCTTTTATAAAGACTTGGTTAAACCAAATTTTCCATCCAAATTCGGATGTTGAATTTCCCTATTTTCTAAATTACTCTGCTCCCCAGATATTCTATGTGAAGCAAAGGGTTGGTAGAAGGACCTGCGTTAGCTCCAGATCTCGGAAACATACCTAGATTACGTTGACTCCAGCGAACTGCAGTGTAATAAATCGAGTCCCAAACTGTCGCTTTTCGAAGAAAGACCGAATATACTGCGGAAACCGCAAAAGAAACTTGGACGGCAGCTATAAGCTCCTCCCTTTTTGCGAAAATCGGAAACGATTCGAGAGATCCGGAGAACCAAATATTTTTCAGACGGAGCCTTCGATTTTCGAACGGCTTGGGGTGAGAAGACCCGGTGAAGCACACAGAAATCGTAAAGCATTGCAATTTCCCCGCTAGAAGCAATGCCTCTTGTAGCTCATCTTCCAAAAATCGCGTACAACGGCTTTCAGATAGTCCGATTTCCGTCCGATTCTCGGTCCAATTTTTTTTCGCATCATGTGTTCCAGCGTTTATTGTGAAGTATACTTGCCTTCCTTTTATTTATTTCTCAAATAGCGCCAAAAAAAAGAAGAAAAAAACGGGAAGCTATTCTCAAAATTTTGTTTCGAAAGAAATGGCAGATATTTTGTTTTTTGTCGAACTGAAGTGGTACTGTTGTGCATCGAAAAGGTACGCGTAAGCTATTATGTTGAGAAAACGTTCTCTCAGTTTATATTAAAAAGAAAAGACACAGACAGCCCTTAGCGAAAACTAATACGTTTGAAATATACCACATTCTAATTTGAGTGTATTTGAAATACAATTCATAATTGTAAGTACACGAAAAATATACCGAAAATATAAACTTCTTTTTTTGTTACTTAGTACTAAAATATACTTCTAAAAATCATTTTAAAATACCTTTACTTAAACTACATTTGAAGTTCCCTTCATGCGTTTTGAAATATGTAAATACTAAATTAATAGGCACAAAATACCTTTCACATATATTTCTTGAAATATTTATTTAGTTCATGCAAAATATACTCCAACCGTAAAAAAATGGAGCAATCAAGAATACGTGCAGAATACTCTTAAAATACCTGAAAATCGTAAATACTGTTGTGTTATACTCTAAGTACCTTTTGACTGCAATACTTTGGTAGTTTGACTTAAACTACCAAGATATTTAAAAGCTCCCCTTCTGAAGTTCCCTTCAAGCAGATATGGAGTACACTGAAGCGCCTAAATACATTTGATTAGTTTGGCATTTGAATTGCGCAGCATCACACTGATAAACCAGCCCAGTTTATGTTATTGTTTCATTTTTTCTATCAAGAACACACCTGATTAGTTCCTTGCACACCAATCGCAAACGGGGTTCGGGAACTACAACCACAACGTTTGCTGATGCTGGAAAGCTTCAGCAGGTGCTGTGAACAGATACGTTTGGCGTGGTTTTGTTAGCACAATGTTAGTTCACTGAACGTGTATACTCACCATTGTACGTGATGCGAATAGTGACTTTAATACAGTGACATGCATTAACTACCATATTAAATAGTCAACTACTAAAAAGGAAAGGCAAAACAACTACTGTAAAATATTTATTTTTTCGCGGGCTCAATATTTCGCGATTTAGGTCAAAGTTGGAGTTTTGGAATAATTCGCAAATTCTAATTTTCGCGACGCGCTGGGATCGCAATATAGATTTTAATGTTTCTACATTTTGCCGAAATTGTTCACGGGACCTACTTTCGGAATTGTAGGCGATTCGCAAACTTTGCGAGAATTAGGTCCTCACGAAAATAAAGTCGTTTACAGTATTTTAAAGTGAAGAAACTGCCTTGATTCGCTTCGCCCTGAGTGGTGCTACGCAGAGAAGCAATAACATGTATTTTATGAGCCGTTTGTGTGGATATTGTTTTAGGGACTGTGCCGAATTGTTATTAGTTGTACAAATGCCTTTTAATAAGAGATATCGTCCACGAACTTCAAAACACTGTTTCCCCCTTGACAGACTCCCGAGGAGAAGATCGAATACTTGTAACCTTAATAAGCGCAGAGGTGGTCACCGAAAAAATTATTACCTTCAATATGTAGGCTATATAAGGCTCTAGAGCAGTCAACGGGACTGTGAATGAGCTCTTCAGTGCGTCATGGTGTTTGTGTTTGTGTTCGTTTCTAATGTGGCTTTGTGAGATGTATTTAGTAGTGCCTTCAAATACCACAAGGACACCATTTGCTGACAAAATCGAAAATAAAAAAAAATTATGTAACCGGTTTTTATTTACAAATGGCATCTTGAGTGTGGAGGAATAAAATTTTTGGCATACCTAAAATATTTTTTGATTCATATTTATAATGTATTTTGAATACATTACGCGCGTATTTCGAATGCGGCCAAAATAATACAGAATAAATACAAAATGAATATTCGTACTAAATATATTTCAACTTCGTTTGAAGTACGGCCTCTTTTTGCTAAGGGCTAGGACTAGGATGGGTACAGAGATGCTGCGCGTGCGGGATATTATGTAAGCAACAAGGATTATCAAATATCGAAAAGTCTAAGAGAGCTGTTACAACATTTTATAATGCTGTCTTGTGTACTCTAATTACTTAATTATGAGACTAAATTCATATATTGAAATATATCAACGCTCTCTTTTCTTAATTACACCTGTATCTATTTCTAAATATAACATATATTAACTTAATATAGGCCTCATATAACCTAAAAATCCGAATTCCAGAGTATTTTCTCAAACCCGATATCTCTCAGATTACAGTTTCGAACAAAGCGCCCAAATTTTACCTCTCCATTAAAAAAAAAAAAAAAAAAAAAAAAGAAAAACGTAAAAACGAACAATTTTACATATGCTACTTTTTCAAGATAAGATGGAGTAGCTTTTAGGGTTCGACAAAGGTTAGCGACGCCGACTGCCTGTCCAGAGCCTCGGTAGAGCTAGCTACCGGTTATGCCAAGCACGACGACGAAGACGACGGTCGCTTTCTTGGCGCAGTTAGCGTCAATGCCATGGCAGTGCTCCAACGGGGGGCGATCCTGAACTAATTCCGCGCACTGATCGACCACTTGGAGGTACAAGGGAGTACAATTCCTTGATCCTTCTCACGTGTCCTGACAACATTCGCTCTCCGGCAAGGTGTTCTCCACAAAGATAACTTTTGGAAACAGAAACTCGACGTGGCTCCTGGTAATTCCTACTAGTCTTCCAAAGGGGATGTTTTTAAGCCTGCTACGACGACCCGACGTCTGGTCACTTTGGCTACAGCAGGACTCTCGCGAGGATTCGAGAGAAGTACTACTGGTCAAAGCTCCCGAAGACTGCCCACTTCTACACACGGTCGTGCCACGAGTGCCAGCGATGGAAGAAACCGCCGACGAAGCCGGCGGGCCTCCTGCAGCCAATCGCGCCCCCGACTGCACCATTCCAGCAGATTGGAATGAATCTACTTGGACCTTTCCCGTCGTCAACGCAGGGAAACCGATGAATAAACGTGGCAACAGGTTGTGTCACCCAAAACGCCAAGACAAAAGCCCTCCGATCGGGACCCGCGGTGGAAGTAGCCCAGTTCTCCGTCGAGAGCAACGGCGGGACCGGCAACGAGAATGCCAGTGGCGTGGGCGGCCAGCACGGGTGTGCGCATACATTTCGTCATGATGGCCACCGATCAAGACAATAAATGTGCTCGTACTTTTGTCCAAAATTCTGTGTCACGTCTGTTTCGTGTGCTAAACAGCTTCTCGGTCATCCCCATTCACTAAGCAGAATGGCTCCCCATCTTTTTTTTGTTTAATCTAAAGATTACCGTTTCGCAAATTAGCTTGTCTGAGTCAACGTCTTAGTGGTGTTCTAAAGCTTTAAAAGGAAGCCTTTGTTCACTCCTGCCATTGTCTGGCCTGTAAAAAAAAATAACTGAGTCTAGCTTCACATTGAGAACTGGAGGGTTCATAGAGTGTAAACCAAGCGCTACCCAGTGAAATACACAAAACAACACAAACTGACTTTTGTGAGCACATGCATGGCTGTAGAAGGGTTCGTGAAGTGTAAACCTTGCACATCTCTGTGTCTGCAGGCGCGTGCACATTACTCGGGCAACGTACCAGCTGCTGGACGGCAGATTCGAGACGGAGCCCGGAAACGGGGCCCAGAGGGACCCTTACCTGGCAGAGCACCAAGTGGACACCTTTCTCATCGCCCCGCTCAAGGTGGGCAAAGTGAATATTAGGGTTTCGCGCCGTAAAGCAACTGCTGTTATGAGTAACGTTCTTTGTTGTCGGAGTTTCTTCGGTCCCGCAGATTCGGTGTTCAGACAAACAATCGGCGTTTATCGGGAATTAAGTTTAAAAAACAGGACACGGACCTCGTAGTCCTTAACCCCCAAGCAACATAGAGTGGCCTAAATACTAGGGAAACGTTCCAGTACAGCGATGAGAAAAGGAAACGGGACAATCGATCCCGAAAAGAGAAGAATCTTCGAGGACAGTTCAGTGCGCGGCCTCTGTTCCGAGTCGAGACAAGGTAAGGCTCTGAGTCACAGTAGACAGCAAGCTTGAGTAATGGGAGAAATGTCCTAACTCAATATCGTTACACGTGCCGTGCAACAATCTTGAATCAAAAGAAGTTACACGCACTACCTAACTGCTCTTCAATGCGGCCTCCGACAATGACACCTTTTCGCCAACCATTAATTCTTTGTGTGTCGACTTTCTTCTCAAGTGCAATAGAACCCTCAGAGAAAAAAGCGCCATTTGTCGTACGCAACGGCAACCAGCGCCAGCCGCCATGCTGCGGGGTAGTGGTGCGTCGTTGCATACGCTGCATAGGCCGTAGACGCTAGTCTGTGTCAGTTACACGGCCCACGATGCGAACGTACTGCTGCGTACCCCTCTGTAAGCAGAGTGGGTACGTATTCGCAAATGAACTCGCTATCGGTTGACGGGCGTCGGTCGGATGGGGATAATCAGAGGCGCAGCAGCGCAGACGTTTGCCTGCTCAAGTGCAAGAACGGAACGCGAGCCGTTCCCACCCTTCAGACTTTTTATTTGCCTTAAAGCCTTCAGACTTTTTACTTGAATTCGAAATGTGACTTAAATTTTAATACGTACGGTATTCGCGGTAAGTTTCTACTTGATACTTCGAGTCCTTGACTTTTGCAGGTGATTTTAGAGTCGAAGCTTTATTTTGAAATACACCCATAGAGCAACTTAAAGTTTTACTTGTTTTTGTAATTTTTATTGTACACGATCTGTGTCGTACATGAAACCCGTGCTGGCCGTGTACCAACGATGGCTCGTGTGGGTTTACGTATAGAACACGAAGAAGCAATATGGAGTGTAGAAATTTGGAAGGGCCGGGGGGAGAGAGGGCGGATTTCTGGCTCTTAATATTATGGAAGTCATTAAAACATAAAAGTCGTGTAATCCCGCTTAAATTGCCCACCTGAGCCAAAGTGGTACTTGCATTTTAATAACACTTAATTTTCTATTTGCATATTTCATTCCATGGGTTACCAAAAAACAGGGAGAACTACAAAAGATGGATAGCCTCCCTCAACGAGGAAGTTTTAGCTTCCATCGAAGGAGCGCTCTGCCTTCGATCGGCTCTTGTAGAAGCGATGCACTTCGTCATTTTTAAACTGCTGGGAGTTGGGGAAATGTTGTTTACCCAACCCGAGATTGGGAAAACGCTGCCTGCAGCCATGCAGAGGTGAAGAGATCGAGGAAATGAAAGAACGCCACAGTGTAAACAACTGTACTGGCCGCAACGGAGTCCTTCCCAATAGCGCCGGCCGCCCAATGCTGTTGGACTCGTTCAGGGGATTTTCGCTGTTGCCAGATTTTTTAAAAGGGGTCTATAACATTTCTTTCGGCAGCCCCTCCCCCCCCCCTCCCCCTCCCCTCCCCCCCCCCCCCCTCCCCTCCCCTCCCCTCCCCTCCCCTCCCCTAACTGGAATATTCCGCTTTGTTACACGATACGATATCCCAAAAGTGAAATCGAACACCGGGCCCCAGACTTGGGAGGCCCACACTCAACTGTTGCACCAACGGGGAGGCGTGTACCTCTGACCATATATGGCTCTGCCTCTGACTTTTTCTCCCGTTGTACGAGGGATAGTGCAGCCGAGGCGCAATCCATCTCCGGGAATTCGCGCTTGTGTCCGCGAATGTCCAGGGATCATGGGATCCGCCAACGTCATTTCCAACAGGGGGCGCACTCTAAAAAAATTACACCATCTTCCCGAGGGGAACCATGGGGTGATGCGGAGCATCAACGTTCCATCACACTTCATCGGAAGAACGGAGTGAAGTGGAGTCAACAGCGGCGAACTGAACGCGCGCAGAAATTGGTTTGCTCTTTATGTTTATACAGCCTTGATGGAGATGCGCCTCAACGGGTAATTGCTCTCATGGCTGTAGATGAGAAATTTAGCCAGTGCAGTACAACCGCTAACCTGGGATTTTTACCGTGCATTACGCAGTAGTGATGACACGAACGCGTGCCGGTACGAAACTCATCCAGATCGAAACGGGCGGGGGTGGCGGGGACTCGAACCCAGGAGGTTCCCAGCGCAAGCTTTCGCTCCACGCTCCGAGCTGAGACGCGTTAGCCCACTCGGCCACTTCCTCCCCTTGAACGCGCGCAGCGCGCTCCCCCCCCCCCCCCCCTACCGCTGCTTAAATTCACACTTGAAGGAGAGGAAACTAGAGGAGGAGAGTTGCGCCTGCGCGCGCGGTGTGAGTAGAAGCGAACGCACGCGAAGTGCACGCAGCTGTTGGAGAGAGAGAGAACGCACGCGCAGCTGTTGGAGAGAAAGAGAACGCACGCGCAGCGAGGAGAGTTGCGCATGCGTAGTGTGTGTGCGGACTGCGACGCCGCGGGACATAGGGGAATTGTAGTAGACCGTTTCCGCAGCCCGCTAAGCACCCGGATAGCGCTCCGTAATCCGCCACAAGACCTTGAACTATGCAGATAAGGCTGGCGGCGCGCATGCGTAGCTGCGGCATTTTCTTCGGGGATACCGTAGCGAGAAAAACGGTCTACTACAATTCCCTATAGACCCGAGCAAGAGATGCTCCGCATCTAAAAAAGGGGTCATGATATGTAGAAGTACTGGTGGCAAATGTCCGAAATAGATTGCAGAAAGTAGCTGTGATACGAGAAGAGGAAAGGGACACCTTTGGGTCTGAGTTATATTGGAGGAACTTCTGGAAGGATACGGTGTTTGTCGACGAGAAAGAGAAAACCACTGCATCGCCGCGCCAGCATGCGGTGATGCAGCATGCCGACGCGCTCGCAGCGTTGGTACGTCTTACTACGAGGGCGACGCTAGCAGGTCCATGGCAACGCCAAGACGAACGCGTTCGCTGGTTTGCGGCAACTTTCGTCGACTGTCAGCACGCTTGCCCCTTGGGGCAGGGCGGGGCATCCAGTCACCATGACATCTTGCGCATGCCTCGTCTTTGGGATTGGCTGAGGAGGCTAGTCGTAGACGTAATACTACTAAAGGGTCAATCACACAGTTGCATTGAGTTCGCTCGAGTGCGAGGGTTGCTATGGCAAAAGCTGCGTCGCCTCCAGCAAAACGGAGAGAAACCCGGTTTTGTTGGAGCCAACGCAGCTGTTGCCACAGCAACCCTCCCACTCGATCGGACACAACGCAAGTGTGTGAATCGCCCTTGAGACACGGGATGCGGAATCACAAGGGGAAGCGAAAATGGCTCGCAAATTCTAATAGTCGTTCTGAGGAAGCGGCGCGGAAGCGACCAACGATGCCACAAGGATATATAAATTACGCGAGCGCCTAGCATCTGCCGCCGTGACACGCGTTAACGGTAGCGCACGAGATGCGCTTGGATTAATCTTTTTCTTGGAAAGCATCAAAAACGTTTTAATCAAAACAAGCCAATTATTACTGAGGCGAGAAAAATACATATAACGAAGAAAACACACGCTTCCATTGGTGAGGAAAAGAACGGAAATATGGTGTCAATAAGATGAAATGGCAAAATATATATATTTTTTTTTTGAACGCAGATTAGTGGAAACGGTGTGAAATTGATGCGAGTAGAATTTCAAGTCAGGCATAATTAAAATCTTTATTCATAAAAAGTATGTATTTATTTTTACGAAGAAACCGGCACCACTTTTGCGCATAGTTTTAGGCGGTGGTATAGTCCAAAAATAAGAAAAATAAATGTAATATTAAAAAAAAAAAAACGTTTAAAAAGACGGTCCGTTTCTGACAAGCAGCACAAATGTTTTTGGATAAAAGGGCAACACGTATACGCGAATATACTAATGATTGGGCGAAACTCTGGTGACGTCACTGGAGTTTTATCCAATCAAGCATCGCCTTCTGCTCCAGAAAAGCCAGCTCCTCAGTCCTAGTAGCTCGGAGTTGCTCTTTCGACTGTCACGTAATCGCTTGATGTCTTGACTCGTCGGATCTCTTGACGGGGAGGAGGACAGACCGTGACGCCCCAAGCGGTTAACTTTTCAACTTCACGGATGGGGACAACAAATACAATGACGCAGCGCTCGGTCGACATAACCGAACGCGGCGTCAGCGTCCGGCTGGAGTTGGTGTTCTCCGGCGAGGGGGAGGAGGGGCTCTTGTGTTTCCACTACGGCCTGCATGAACAATGCAGCATGCACAATCCCAGCTCAGCACAAAAGCCGAAGTGGGTCAAGGTCGCATTCTCTGAGGATAGATCCGGCACTTAACGTCGCTTCGTCGATTGTTAGCATTTTTTACACTAAACTGTGCCCAGGGCTCTATTGTAGAAGATGACATGGCCATGCCAATAAGGCCTGTCGGCATGTGCACAGGCATTGTGTTAAGTAAACACCGAGGTGGGGAAAACAAACGGGTCAGAGCGCCCCCTATAGTTCGATCTCCTGCCCAATAAGCGGAAGGAGCGGAAGGAGCTGAGGTGTGCGGGCAATGTGAAGATAGAGTTAGTGTTCAGTGAAGACCACTGCACAGGTAGAGAGTTGTGAAAGCGAAGTCCTCGGTGACTGCGCGTTTGTCCTTTGATGAGAAGCAGCTATAAGTTTCTTGATCGGCGGAAGGGGTTTGTGGCAAGACATCTTTTCTTTCAGTCAATTCACCCGAATAATATCGTCATGAAGAGAGCGGCCATTGCGTACCATTGAACGACCATTAGTCTGAGATTATAAAAAAACAAGGATGGCATTCGTCGAC